CCAGCATCTGCAGTTCCTACTATCTCTGATTCGACAAAGACTACTGAACTGGCTTTCCAGTTTTCCCTCCACCAATAGGCTAATTTTCCCTGTTTGTGCGTGTGTGCACGTGTACATGTGCATGAGCTTAAATGTGCACGCCAGTGTGTGTGTAGGATAAGCTTACCAGGGGATTAGAGTTTTAATTAGTAGTGTTATATGCTGACAGTTTATAATGGTTTGCCTGTAGTTAGTGTCTAATTAATTGCAATAAACAGCAATTCTTGTTCAGTACAGAAACCTGACCTGTGCTTTCCATCAACCTGGGTCTGAAAGTCAAGGAAATTGGGGAACTTTGTATACTTTACAAAATCTTTAATTTTTGTGACGACTCCAAAGGGGGAAGGGGGCTTGGTTTTTAACACCCTATCCCGGTGAGATGGACCAACAGTAGTTGAAGAGTGGACCTTACATCATTATGTTGAATGGAATGCATCTTTGCTTTTACTAAGGGTGTGGTAGTGTAGAATATATGCCTAAAGTAGAAAGCCAGAGATTACAAGCTCATTTCCCCATGTCAAGCAGTATGAAACTGAAAGCATTACCAAAAGAAAAAGACTGGTTGACTACATGTTCTTCAGTTGTAACAACTGAGACAAAATCCATTTGACTTTGGCAGATTCACCCATGGCCTGAAAAATCCTTTTTTGTTTAGAAAGATATGCTTGTTTGAATCTCAGCAACGCAGCTGTTTTCAAAGCCAAGCCAATGGCCTGTTTGACCTTGAATGGGCCATCACTCAACGGCCTCCTAGATTTATTGACATTTTTAAAATGCACATGGTGATTGCTATTCTAGATAAAGTCCCTTCAGTAGCCTCTCCCTCAAGTGGAGTAGCATCTGCAAAGTGTTTATTTTATTATTTTATGAATTGTGGGCATCACCAGTTTGGACAGCATTTGCTACCCATCTTAATTGCCCTTGAAAGAGTAGTGGTGAGTTGCCTTTGTGAACAGCTGCAGTCACGTGGTGTAGATACATTTTCCTTTTAGGAAGGTACTTCCAGGATTTTGACCATGTGATAGTGGAGATAAATTCCAAGTCAGGATCACACAAGGCTTGGACAGAAACTTGCAGTGGTGATATTCTCATGCATCACTACCTTGGTTTTTCCAGGTGGTAGGGGTCACAGATTTGGAAGATGCTTGGTGAGAATGCGGAAGGTGGTGCCAAGCAACAAGGCCACTTGATGGTGTTGTACTTCAAGCATTTTTTTGGAGCATCAACTATCCATGCACATATGCTGCCAATGGAACAAGTGATATGTCTCCCACCCAAAAAATGACCGGTTTTATTTCCTAAATGCCACTCCACCCCAACCCACCACAGTCTCTAATACTCACCTTTCCCAGTTAAGCAGATATACCTATAGCGTTTCTAGTAGTGGCCAACATTCAGCCAATTATTAGGCAAGTTCGCCTCCTCCCCTTCCCTCCTCCCAACACACGCATACACGAAAATTAGAATTCTCTCTTTCCCCAATATGAAACGGGTGCTGGGGTGAATGGACAGCAACAGGATTTTTGCTAGATAAATGTACAGAAGGATATGGAGCAAAGGTGGGAAAAAAGATTGCAGGGAAAAAGGATTCCACCAACCATCTGATTAAATGCAGGAACAAGCTTTGAGGGGGTGAATGGGTTTCTCCTTCTTTCCCTATGACACGCATCACTGCAGACTTTCAAAATGGTATCTGTACATCTGAAATTGGACATTCTTAGTCTGCAATTTTAATTCCTACAGGTGTTAATCTCATTCTTTTGCTGCTGTAAATTAATAAGAAGGATTTGCTGATGATAATCATTTGCTTAGAGTGACTGACACTATCTAAATAAATGAGAACTGGGTCTCAAGTCAGGTCAATAGTTGTAAACAGGCAATATATTCTAGTTCGCAGTTTGAAAGCTCACTTGGGAGATTTTGAAATCTGCATTGAAGTTCACAAAACAATATTGCTACCTAGTGGCAAATTCAAATCCTACACCCTGAAAGCACCATAATTTCTTTGTGGAAAAGTAAACTTGCTGTACCTGTTTACCTGAGGGACACGAACCTGTCAATTTTCTTCTTTCTCCCTGATTTTTGCCCATTTTCAGTTCCTTTCAAATGTTCTACAGTGTAGCCACTATGACATTCCCAAATCAGGTCAAAACCGACGAAAAAGTTTTTAATTATAATGTTGTCCTAAATGTTGTGAAATCTGAGGACAGTGAGTGAATGATCAATTGTTCTCAAAAAATGAAATGCCTTGAAAAAGTACACTTTAACACTAAGTGTACTTACTGTTGTGTAAGTAAACAGAGCAGCCGAATTTAAACATAGCAAGATCCCACAAAGTGCAAATGACTGTACTGCTAGTTAATCTGGTTTTGATTATTTCATTGAGGGAGAGATGTTGGTCAGAAACATTGTAAGAGCTAGCTTTTTTTTTGTTTATTCATTTGTGGGATGTGGTTGTCGCTAGCTAGCCAGCATTTATTGCCTGTCCCTAGTTGCCCTTGAGAAGGTGGTGGTGAACTGTCTTCTTGAATTGCTGCAGTCCACCTGTTGTGGGTTGACCCACAATGCTATTAGGGAGGGAATTCTAGGATTTTGACCCAGCGACAGTGAAGGAACCCTGATATATTTCCAAGTCAGGATGGTGAGTGGCTTGGAGGGGGAACTTGAAGGTGGTAGTGTTCCCATATATCCGCTGCCTTTGCCCTTCTAGATGGAAGTGGTCATGGGTTTAGAAGGTGCTATCTGAAGATCTTTGGTGAATTTCTGCAGTGCATCTTGTAGATAGTACACACTACTGCAACTGAGCAGGGGTAGTGGATGCTTGTGGATGTGGTGCCAATCAAGCGGGCTGCTTTGTCCTGGATGGTGTCAAGCCTCTTGAGTGTTGTTGGGGCTGCACTCATCCAGGCAAGTAAAGAGTATTCCATCACAGTCCTGACTTGTGCCTTGTAGATGACAGACAGGCTTTCGGGAGACAGGAGGTGAGTTACTCGCCTCAGTAGTTCTAGGCCCTGACCTGCTTTTGTAGCCACAGCGTTTATGTGGTGAGCCTAGTTGAGTTTCTGATCAATATAACTCCCAGGATGTTGATAGTGGGTGATTCAGTGATGGTAACACCATTGAATGTCAAGGGGTGGTAGTTAAATTGTCTCTTATTGGTGATGGTCATAGCCTGGCATTTGTGTGACGCAATTGTTACTTGCTACTTGTCAGCCCAAGTCTGGATGTTGTCCAGATCTTGTTGCATTTGGACATGGACTGCTTCAGTGTCTGAGGAGTCGTGAATGGTGCTGAACATTGTGCAGTCATCAGTGAACATCCCCACTTCGGATCTTATGATGGAGGGAAGGTCATTGATGAAGCAACTGAAAATGTTTGGACCTAGGACACTACCCTGAGGAACTCCTGGAGGTGTCCTGGACCTGAGATAACTGACCTCCAACAACCACAACCATCTTTCTCTTTGTGTAAGGTATAACTCTAACCACTGGAGAGTTTGCTCTCTGATACCCATTGATTCCAGTTTTGCTCGGGTTCCTTGATGCAGCATTCAGTCGAAAACAGCCTTGACGTCAAGGGCTGTCACTTTCACCTCACCTCTGGAATTCAGCTCTTTTGTCCATGTTTGAACCAAGTCTGTGATGAGGTCAGGAATTGAGTGACCCTGGCAGATTTCAAACTGGGCATCACTGAGCAGGTGCTGCTTGATAGCACTGTTGATGACAGCTTCCATTACTTTACTGATGATCAACAGTAGACTGATGGGGCAGTAACTGGCCAGGTTGGAGTTTTACTGCATTCGTACAGAACATATGTGGGCAATTTTCCGCATTGTTGGGTAGATGCCACTGTTGTAACTGTACTGGAACAGCTTGGCTAAGAAACAGCAAGTTCTGGAGCACAAGTCTTCTTAAACACTGCTTCTCTTTCATTTTCATCTGAGCAGGCAAGTGGAGATTCAACCGAATACTTCATCCAAAAGGCAACACAGGAGTCTGAGCCTGGATAATTTGCTGAAATCCTGGACATGATACATACGTAACTACATCCTTCAGACTAAGCAGACAAAGTGTTAGCAACTGAGCCAAACCCAGAGATGCAACAGAGTACAGGGAGGACATAGAAAGCTTAGTAGCATGATGTGAAGACCACAATCTCTCCCTCAATGTCAGCAAACTGAAGGAGCTGGTCACTGACTTCAGGAAGCAGAGTGGAAGACACACTCGTGTCTGTATCAATTTGCTGAGGTTGGGGTGGTCAAGAGCTTCAAGTTCCTAGGAGTGGATATCACCAATAACCTATCTTGGTCCATCCATGTCGATGCTACAGTCAGGAAAGCACTCCAATGCCTCTACTTCCTCAGAAGACTAAGGAAATTTGGCATGTCCACGCAGACTTTTACCAATTTTTATAGATGTACTATAGAAAGTATTCTCTCTGGATGCATCACGGCATGGTATAGCATGGCAACTGCTCTGCCCAAGACCGCTAGAAATTACAAAGAGTTGTGAATGTAACCGAGTCCATCATGAAAACCAGCCTTCCATCCACTGACTTCATCTACACTTCCTGCTGCCTCGGGAAAGCGGCCAACATAATCAAAGACCTCTCCCATCCCGGTTATACTCTCTTACACTCTTTTCCATCGGGCAGAAGATACAGAAGTTTGAAAACACGTACCAACAGAACAGCTTCTTCCCTGCTGTTATCAGACTTTTGAATGGCCCTCTCATATATTAGAGTTGATCTTTCGTCCACCTTCTCCGTAGTTGTAACACTATATTCTGCATTCTGTTCTATTACCCTGATGTATTTACGTAAGGTATGATTTGTCAGGTTAGTATGCAATACAATAGTTTTCACTGTATCTTGGTACATGTGACAATAATAATTCAAACCAAAGCTGAATGGTCAAAATCATATCCAATCTGAAAACTCATTTCCATCACTTGTATCTTACAGGTGCCAGGGATTTCAGTGAAGGACAAACTTCACTCCTCTGACCAAATGAATTAACCTATTTAATAAGCTCCTGCAACAGAAAAGGAAAATAATAATTACCTTACAGGAACCAACCAAAAATCACTTACTTTCCACCTCTAGAAAAATCTCCCAAATCGTTCAGCAAATTATTTTACGATTCAAGATGTTCCAAAATATTGAGAAAGCATTTCTCGTTTACTTTGTCATTAGTTGTCCTCCAATAAAGACATGTGACCTCAAAACCAGAAAACATTTCTGCTGATTTCTGTACCTAATCTTACCTCAGTATCATCACTGTAGATATAGTAAAGGACTCGGATGAAAATGTCCTCTGTCACGTTGTGGAGTGTCACCATGGGAATACTGGGTTGACTCTGAAGTTCCTCACTTTCGGAGAAATGATCCTGCAGCAGGGCTCTAAAATAATCACTACGACTGCAAAAAAATGCCTACAAAGGACAAAGACAAGATATCAACATCAATCTTACACAATCAGAGAGCTGTAGTGTTACCAACACAGGAGAAGGTGATTTTTCCCATCACATTTGTGCCAGCTGTTTGTTGAAGCAACCAAAACTATCCCCACTGCCTTGCCCTACCTGCCATACGCTACGTGTTACTGGGGAAAACAGTGCAGGAGGTTAAAATGCCTGATGCAGGAGTTCTCAACCGAGAGCCTGCAAGAAGATTTCAAGTGGTCTGGAACAGGGTGCAGGAGGAAGAGAAGCCGTCACCGTCAATGCAATCTTTGCAAAAGCTGAAATCATTGGATCCAGGCAGCCTCCTCTTTGGCAATTGCAATGACATTTCAGCTGCAGTTTCCATCTCTGATTGTCACTGAAGTCACACTGGAGACCTGCTCTGGACTTCCCAGCTTCCCTACTGCCAATGCTCTCCCAGGTTGAAATTGCAAAGGGACGCAGATCCACAGGGGAAATAGCAATCACCGCAATAGCAGTGAGACTGGCAATGGAGAGGACTGAAAGCAGCAGACTGAAAATGGAGTCAAATTCAATTTATTTCAAGATTAAAGTGACACAAAAGCAGTTTTCAATATAAATATGGCCAATGTGAAAAATGTGGGTGTCACTGTTGAGCCAGCATTTTATTGTCCATCCCTTATGTACTTGAGTTGTACTCGAGGTGGTGACACAGTGAGCTGCCTCCTGGAACCACTGCTATCCACATAGTGCTGGTATGGAGGGAGTTCCAGGATTCTGACCCAGCAACACTGAGGAAACAGCGACATTTTTCCAAATCAGGATGGTGAGTGACTTGGAGGGGAACTTGAAGGTAGAGGTGTTCCTGTGTATCTCCAGCTCTTGTCCTTCTAGATGGCAGTGGGAATGGGTTGGGAAAGTGCTGTCTAAGGAGCCTTGGTGAATTTCTGTAGAGCATCGTGTAAATAGTAGACACTGCTGCTAAAGAGCATTGGTAGTTAAGGGACTGAATGTTTGCGGATATCATGCCAATGAAGTAGTTGCTTTATCCTGTTTCGTGTCAAGCTTCTGGTGTGTTGTTGGAGCTACATCCATCCAGGCAAGTGGGTCGGATTCTACACTCCACGTTTGTGCCTTGCAGATGGTGGACAGGCTTTGGGGAATCAGGAAGCATGTTACTCACTGCAAAATTCCTAGCCTCTGACCTGCTCGTGCAGCCAAAGTATTTTTATGTGGCTAGAACAGTTCAGTTTGTGGTCGATGATAACTCCCAGGAAATTGATAATGGGGGATTCAGTGATGGTAATGTCAGCGAATGTCAAGGGACAATGGTTAGATTCTTCAACTGATGCTTCAATCTTACTTGCTGCACTAACGTGCTGGTCATTATTGTTGATATTTGAGGAGGCCCCGCTTCCAATGAGTTGTTTAATTGCCCATGACCAGATGTGGCAGGATGGCGGAACTTAAATCTGATCCAATGGTTGTGGAATCACTTGGTGTTGTCTGACATTTGCTGCTTGTGTTACCTGGCACACAAGTAGCTTTTTTTTTGTAGCCTCACCAGGTTTATACCTCATTTTTAGGTTTGCTAGGTGCTGTTCTTGATAAGCCCTCCTGCACTGTTCAACGAGCCATTGCTGTTCCCCTGACCTGATGGTAATGGTATAGTGGAAGAAATGCTGAGCCATGAGGTTGCAGATAGTGCTGGAGGTACAATTCTGCTGTGCCTAATGACCCACAGCGCATAACAGATATCCAGTCTCGAGATACCAGATAAAAACCGAAAGAAGAGGATGCTGGAAATCAGAAACGAAAACAATAATTGCTGGAAAAGCTCAGCAGGTCTGGCACTATCTGTGGAGAAAGATCAGAGTTAACTTTTCGGGTCCAGTGAATGCTCCTCAGAACTGAGGGGTCTGAGGAAGGGTCACTGGAACCAAAACGTTAACTCTAATTTCTTTCCACAAATGCTGTCCGACCTGCTAAGCCTTCCCAGCAATTTCTGTTTTTGTTCCGAGTTGCTAGATCTGTTCAAAGTCTATCCCATTTAGCACAGTAGTAGTGCCATACAACACAACAGAAGGTATTCTTAATGTGAAGGTGGGACTGTGTGGTCACTCTTACTATTACTGGATAGATATATCTGCAGCAGGCAGATTGGTGAGGATACAGACCAGCACATTATTACTTCTTGTTGGTTCCGTCTCCACCTGCCACAGGTGTTCCTTATCTAAGGAAAGATATATTGGCATTGGAAGCGGTCCAGAAAAGATGCATTTGGCTTATCCCAGGTTTGGAGGCACTATCTTTTTCAAAGAGATTGAGTAAGTTGGACCTATACTTACTGGAATTTGTAAGAATGAGAGACAACCTATTGATACATACAATGTTCTTAGGAGATCTGACAGGGTAGATGCAGAAAGGTTGTTTCCCCTTGCGGGAGACTAGGACCAGAAGGCATAGTCTCAGAATGAAGGATTGCACATTTACAGAAATGAGTGGGAACTTCTTTCAGAGGATAGTGAGTCTATGGAATTCTTTACCATAGAGAGGTGTAGTGACTGAGTCATGAAGTATAAAAATCTATCTCAGCCTTGCATAATAAGTAAGGGAATAACAGGTCAGGGGAAAAGACAACAGAGTGGAGTTGAGGATTATCAAGTCAGCATGATCCCACTGAATGGTGAATCAACTGCAATGAGCTGAAGGGCCCAATTCTCCTCCTACGCCTTGTGGGCCTTGAGTGAGAATTAGTGGAATCATTAAGGAACATGTCTGTTATAACCAAATGAGGGTATTTGGTCTAGGTAATAATGGGCCTTCCCACTCTCTATTTCAGAAATGAATATCTCACTCAGCTCAGGGTGCACCTGGGAGAATACTCGGTAGGTACCAGGCCCTGGTATTGCACAAATCTCTTAGCTGAAAAGAAAGCACATCAGATAATGCGTTCAGAGGGGACTTCAAAACTATAATGTTGTGTGAGATTAGAAAACCTACACGAAAAACATCAGCTCATAGCTTGCTTTACATTCTTCTTTTTAAAACTCAGTACAGAAATAAACATAGTTATGTGTGACACACTACATGCTAAAATAAGTATTTCGGACTTACACCAGAAGTAATTTCAAATAACATTTTGGAAAGAATCAAAAATTCCAGCCAGAACAACGTTTTATTTTAAACCTAGTTACTAATAGGCATTTCCAGATTTGGCGTACCTTGTGGCACAGGAAGATGTAACCTTCGACTCGGAAACTCAAATCAGGATAACTGCTAAAGTTATCAGTGCTGTCAAAAGGCAGTTCACCAAAACCAACCTGAGACAGAAAAAGATCAACATCAATTCATTACTAGAGAAGCAATAAAGCTGACGTTATTTTTCATTCAGGGAAATACAATAATAAAGCAGGCATGGCACATTTTGCAAGGAAGGCTTCTCTTACCATGAAGAGTTAACCATTCTACACCACAACACGAACTAAGCCGTGTTTCGGAATTACTGTACACTGAATAATACAGCTTACATTGTTGCAATTCTAAAAACATCAAGTGCCTCACTACTAGGAAGTCCCAGTTCAGCTCATTTCCAAGGTGTTGGGGGGGCGGGGGGAAGGGTTCAGGCGGATAAAAGCCGCCTTTTTTAATATTTTGATGGGCTTGAAGTTATACAAATTTCAACTCATCTGCTGGAACTATAGACTTTCTTAATTGCTACGCTCCTGACATAGATTCCTTCCAGTGCTGTACTATCCTTGACGCAGCTACAATTTTTTTTAAAAAGCCTCACTGCTTTTCTACCACCTATACCTAAATATTTCAGTCTGGAATTAATAATAGTTTCTTATCCAGTGTTAATTACAGTACTTTAAACTTATTTTCAAATATTGTTCAGCAGGTTTCTTCATATAAAGACTTCTCAGCATTTTGGAGCTTGTTACATGCTTTTCTCTCAAATGACTTCTCAGCACAGAGACAAAATGAATGTCAGAGCCTGGCATGCTTTCTCTCTAAATCCTCTGGATTGTTCTTGGAGCGCTCTGGGTTTCTCTCACTTGGAACTATGGGTATTGTAGATTTTAAAAGCTAATTGTTAATTCCAAACATACAGATATACCCATATGTTTAACTTAGAATTCCAAGAACACAAACTTGCAGTAAACAATATTAAAATACATTATAAAAACTCGAAAGAACTGCAGATCCTGTAAATCAGGAACAAAATCAAAGTTGCTGATAAGCTCAGCAGGTCTGGCAGCGTCACCGGACCCGTAACATTAACAAAAATAGAAATTGCCGGAAAAGCTCAGCAAGTCTGACAGCATCTGTGGAGAGAAATCAGAGTTAACGTTTTGGGTCGAGTGACCCTTCTCTCCACAGATGGTGCCAGCCCTGCTGAGCTTTTCCAGCAATTTCTATTTTTAAAGTATGTTATAAAATCTTAATTTCACCAAACTATAATGAAGTCAATCTTAACTCTGAGACTTGTCAGCCTGCAGCTGTTTATAATTTCATTAAGTTCCTCTCTCCTTTCCACCTCCTGATTTGGAATGCTTATTGTATCCATTATAGTGATGACCCTGGAAATAGTGAATTTATTTTAAATTGCTTATTAGTCAGAGGATGGGGAACTAAAGGACTAACAATTACTTTATTTCAACAGGAAAAGAGTAAATAATGTAGAAACTCTTGCTATCTCCTTTATATTTCTAGCCAACTTCTTCGCATACTATATTCTTCTTCCTGATTCACCTTTCAGTCATTCTCTGCTGTTCTTAATATTCTGACCAATTCAATAGTCACTTTCAAATCATTGAAACTAATTGAGAGAAGCTGGGGCCTAAGCATTAATCCTTGCAGTCCCCACTACTCTCAGCCTGTCAACCAAAGAATGACCTTCTGTTTTCTTTCCATTAATCAATCTTCAATCTATGCGTATCCCATGGGGTCTAATTTTGTTTACTAACTTCCTACATGAAACTTTATCAAAAGCCTTCTGAAAATCCAAACAAACCACTTTCACTGGTCCCCTCTTATCTATTCTGCAAGTAACATCCTGAAAACATTCCAACAGGTTTGTCCAATGCAATTTCCCCTTTATAAATCCATGTTGACACTGCCCAAGGTAATGATACTATGGTTTGAAGAGGTGATTTTGACCTGGTTTTCTTTGAAGAGAGGTTTTAAGGCAGAGGTATTGAGCAGTCTACCAGAGCTATTACAGTAAACAGCCTCAGGGCTTTTTTTTCCCTAAAATGTTGCAACTATACAAGCAGCCTGAGTGGGTGTGGTCAAGTTCCCACAGAACCAGGATTAGCTTTCTGCAGTTGCTGTTGGGGTCTTAAAGTAGCATAAGCTATTTTTCTCTCTCTCCGCTACAGCCAAAAGCTGGGGATTCTCGTCCTAAAACTGAAGTTGCATGTGAGACGTCTGTTTTCTAAATTTGCCTTTTGCCAAAGAATGTGTTTATGGGATGTTATTATATAGAACAGTTAATTAGTAATAATTACTTTATATATTATTCAGTTAAGTTTTCCAATAGAGTTAAGTTATTCCAATTCATAGAATCCCTACAATGTGGAAACAGGCCCTTCGGCCCAACGAGTCCACACCGACCCTCAGAGCATCCCACCCAGACCCATCCCCCTTTAACCCACCCAATCTAGGAGCCCCTGAACACTACGGGCAATTTAGCGTGGCCAATCCACCTAACTTGCACATCTTTGGACTGTGGGAAGAAACCCACACAGACACGGGGAGAATGCGCAAACTCCACACAGACAGTTGCCCGAGGGTGGAATCGAACCCGGGTTCCTGGTGCTGTGAGGCAGCAGTGCTAACCACTGAGCCACCGTGCCGCCCCTATTTCTCATTTCTTTTGTTGCATTTTAACTATGGTGGATGAATAGTGTGTTTTGCATTAAATCCGGTAGCTGGGTCAATGGAATTGCATCTGGAACACAACACCTTACATTTACCTTTAATATAAGGAAATGTTAGGATCTAGACTATCATTTGCATATTTTGCGGCGGTTTGGTCCAGTGCATAACACCAATCAGATAATTTCTAAGTGTCCAGTCATCACACCCTTTATAGCAGTTTCTATTATTTTCCCTCCTACTGCCATCAGGCTGACAGATCTGCGGTTCCCAGCTTATCCCTCCCTTCTTCTTTAAAGAGTGGGGTCATGTTTGCAACCTTCCAGTCTGCAAGCACCACTCCAAATTCTATTGAATTTTGTAACATATCCACCAATGCATCCAACATGTCTATATCCGCCTCTTTTAATACTCTGGTACATAGATCATCAGCTCTGTGTTCCAACCCACTGGGGTAGCATGCCATAAATTGAGTTCAGCTGTTCCCAGAGGTCGGTTAGCCTCGTTGGCTGGACAGCTGGTTTGCAATGCAGTTTCATTCCTGCACTGATTGAGGTTATCGTGAAGTACTCTCCTTTTCAACATTTCCGCTCACCTAAAGCTTGGAGACCCTCAGGTTAAACCACCAGCCCTCCCTCTCTCTCTCTCTAATGAGAGAGCAGTCCAACAGTCTGGTCAGACTATGGCAACTTTCCCTTTACCTTCATTCCCACAGTCATACCAAATATTAAAGATTTTTTTTTAAAAGTACGCAGAGTGCTAGAGTATAAAAGTAGGGAAATGCTGCTGCAACTGTACGAGGCAATAGTGAGACTGCACCTTGAACACTGTGCGCAGTTTTGGCCCAGCTAGTTGAGGGATGCAGGAGCATTGGAGGCATTAGAGAGAAGGCTCACAAGATTGTTTCCAGTGGGGTACATCTTATGAAGAGAGATTGAGTAGTTTAGGCCTATATTCTCTGAAGTTAAGAAACACGAGAGGAGTCTGCATTCAAGTAGCGTTTGTTTTTATGTTTTTGAATTATAGAAAGTTCTGCTATAGCACTTTTGGATTAATATTGCAGAGCACATTGTAATCTTGACTCATACATCCCTGTATACTCATGGATCATTCATTCTTTGATTGGTGCACAGGCAGAGGTCACTCAACTCAACAGGTCTCTGAAAGAACCATCCATTTAGATACATAACCATCTTTTCCTCATAGCCATGCAAATTTCTCATTATATTTATCCAATTCCCTTTCCAAAATTATTATGGAATACACTTCCACTAACCATTCTCATCCCCTCACCCTCTGGTTCTTCTGTAAAATACCTTCAAAGTGCAGTCGCTGGTTACAGATGTCCCTGCCATCAGAACCAGTTTCTCCCTGTTTTTCAAAATTTTTCCATGGTTGTGAACACCTCTAAAACCCTCACTCTAACTTTTCTCCAAGGAAAAAGCAATTCAAAAACATCGAGGCTCTTTGTAATTTGTTTTTCGCTAAATTATTAAAAATTTAAAACCTACCCGCAGCTCAGCAGGCAGGGCACAGTCAGCAAGTATAGCCAAATCATCCTGCAACCTGCAGTTTTCATCAGGTTCTAATGTCAATACTTTCACCCAGGTTCCAGGCTTTGAGGAAACTGTTTTAAAAAAAAAGGAAACATAACAGCTTACAATCCACAATCAAATGGTCAAAAATATAAGGTTCATAAGATGATTCTGCTTTGGGACTTTTGATATAGGATAAAATAAAAGGGGTCATATTAACTATTCAGAAGTCTGCTTAACAATAGGTCAGTGTGACATGGCTGTTAAAGCTTAAGGGAGGTCTTGGTTTGGCTGGAATCAATACAAGGTATTCATGCTTGTAGACAACAGCGGTAGCATCTGCGTTTACTGTGGGCAGACTGCTAGTTTCTAAGTTCCAAGAATACGTTGAGAATGTATGGTTGTAAACAATTATCCTTTTGATTGTCTATTTACTTTCAAGATAGAGTTGCAAATAAGCTTATCAGGAATTCTACCTGGATACAAGCCAACATGATTCATGTTGCCATGAAGATGGGCTTTGTGAGGGACAAGGGTTTTAAGATAACCCTGAGAAATCTTGCACGCAGCCTGCCGAGATCCCAGAGAAAGAAAGCAAATAGAAGCAAACATTTCCAATGGTGCACCATGCAGAAACGTGGAAGAGAGCTCGCACTCAAATTAGATAAAGCAAATGTGTGAGAATTTGAAACTAGGCTGGAAGATTTCCTGCTGAAGGGAGAATTGGCAGGAAAATGTTTCACCATTAAAGTTCTATGGTTAAAAGTTACCAGAGCTGGGAAAGAAGCAGCATGGAAATAACCCATGGAAAGCAAAAACCACTTTCAACTGGACCTAGGAGACTATGTGAAGCATACCTGTGAAGTGGGTTTTGTGCTAAAAGCAAACAGGGAAACTTCTGTTCTGAACTTTAAATAGTAGGTGGTCAACAACAAGTGTTCAGTCAGTTGTGCTTTTACAGGTTGGGAATACTTTATCCGAAAACCTCAGGTCCAACTGTTTTTTGGATGTAGAATATTTTCTGTCTTCACATACACTTACATCAGTCGGGAGTGTCTTTATTTTCAAAACTATTTCTGCCTTTAGCTGAAGAGCTGCTTCAAATTCCCTGCTTCAATTATCAATCACGGCTGGTTTAAACTGTCATCAGTTCTTTCGACATTAAAAGACACCAATTTGTACAGATTCAATAGGCTTTTGTATGCTTTAAACAAGCACTTCTTTAGCTTGCAAAATCAGAAATGATAGAAATCTGAGTGGGTAAATAACCTGTTCTTTTCTAACTCCTGGGACAAGCTAGGAAAAAGCGATGTGAAGTGTACTAAACAGCATGATGTCCACTGGAAATGTACGCTGAAATAGTACTTTCAATGTTGATAACTAAACGCATAGTGAAATTCTACTGATGAAAGCAGTAAGACCGTTCAGGCCCTTTGGAAAAAAAACTTTGCTTGGCCTGAAAATACCCGAACAGACTAAACATGAATCTCTTTTTCAAAGGGCCAAGCAGACCTGAGGACAAGTCAGAAAACCTTGCTTTTCGATCAGTTTGGGCCAAGCAACTTTTATTTTCCAAAGGGCTTAAACTCAGCATGTCTTTGAACATGTGAATAAAGGATTCCCAAATGACAGTCTTCTGCTGCAGTAAAAGTCTTAAAACTAGCTGTGCCGTCCTTTCAACTATCAGTGGAGGTTTAATGCTTTAAGAAAGTTGTTCATCTCCATGGTAATCGTAACAAAAAACAATTTTAAAAAGCAATCATGTTAATATAATACTGCTCAGAATCCTGCTCAAAGAATTAGCTTTCACCCACATCTCCTACAACCTGCATCAGAGCAACAACTCCAAGAACCTTTCAGAATCTATTCAAATGTTCACTGTGCACTGTTTGTGGAGTTGGGTTCAGAACTGTTCCATTATTTATTTGTGACTGTTGTGATATTGGTATAGTACTTGTGGATTGGAAGGCAGGACGTTAGAATTTGTTTGTAAAATGATGGGGGCGGGGTTGGGGGGGGTGGAGAAGAATGCGTAGTCCCTTTAAAAGATTTTTTTGGGGGAAACAAAAATGTCTGCTGGCTGTAACAGATACATAGAGTGTTCTTGAAACTGAAGCATTGTATCAAAAGGCTATACTGTGAACAGGCAAAGCAGCATTTTTACCAAGACAACAGGTTTTTGAATTTAGCCAATTAATTTAAACCAGGCCATACATACGATTACACCATATTAAGTCTGTTAACCCAAACAAATTTAAATATGATGATTTTGACAACCTCGGACCAATCCTACTGTAAGAAATCAATAGGTCATCAAGGGTATAAAAGAAGAGGGCATTTGAAAATCAGTGAGAGCAACTATCATCTGTTAAGAGAACAACTCTAAACACACATCAGTTTTAAAGAAAGAGAAAATCACTGGCTCTCACAGAAATCTCTAAGATCTCAGGATTAGCACCATCTAAATAAAGGTACTACGGCACTCTTAGCTAATATTCCTGACACAAGAATTTGATGGAGGAAGGCGTTTCTGACTGGAGGACAGCAGAGAAGACAAAGAACATTCTGGAAGACTTATCCTGGCTGTAAGTTCGAGATTAAGCTTTTTATTAAAAACTAATTTGGTTTACATAAGTGGGACATATATCTATTGGAACAGCATTCCATTAGAATTTTGCTTTATTCAGGAATAGTTAGTAGTTAAGGGGGGAATTGTTCGGTTTGTTAGTAGCTCTGTTAATTTGCTCACTGTTAGACTTAGATAAATAAATTGTTCCTTGTCGTTTATAAAGTGAGTATCAAGGATTTTCTTCATTTAGCCATCCCCTCAGTAGCAGATTGGGGGCTCGAGTCTGGAATCTGGCACAGGATTTGAACAGATTTGGGCAGAATTGAACAGATTTGGTTACGAGACAGTACGAAAGGTCCTAACAGATTTAATAGACTTGGGGATTACTGTCCTAGATCTTTAAATAAAATTTAGGTGAGAAGTGGAAATCTGTTTAATTTCGCTTGCTTGCGGTTGGTTAAATCAAAAGTAAGGTAACGGCTGTTTCAGTCACTAACAGTTTTCTGGGGGTTAAAGAAGTGGTTTTGGTGGTTTTAGAGCAGGCAAGCAAGGCAAAACTGCTGGAATTGGCAAATAAGGGGTTGCCTTTGTCTATGAGAAAAGAAGAGGTAATTACTGCAATAGGCCAACATTTAAATTCGCTGGAAAGGCCATCAGAATCTTTGGAAATGGCTAGAATTCAATTGCAGTTGAAGCAGCCTGAACATGAAAGGGAATTGTTTGAATTACAGTTACAAGCACAGGAAAGACAAAAAGAAAACGAGAGTTTGAACTTCAGAAGCTGCAAATTAAACAGGATAACCAACTTAAAATGAGGGAAGTGAAGGCAGAAGGTAGGTTTACTGAGGAGGACAGTGATGATGAGCAGACCCATCGTAGACAAGGACTTGTTAGGGTGACATACAAATATGTCAAAACATTACCAAAATTCGATGAAAAAGATGTCGAAGCCTTTTTCATTTCCTTTGAGAAACTGGCTAATCAAATGAATTGGCCAGAGATAATGTGGGTAATGTTAATTCAGACTAAGTTGGTAGGTAGGGCTAGCAAGGTGTTTGCAACGCTGTCACTTGAGATGTCAAGAGAATAAGAAGAGGTAAAACAGGCTATTTTGAGTGCTTACTAATTGGTACCAGAAGCATATAGACAATGGTTCACAAATACAAGGAAGGAACAAGGTCAGACATATGTCTAATTTGAAAGAATTAAACAGAGCAACATCGATAGATGGGTGAGAGCAATAAAGATAGAAAAGACATATGAGGATCTTAGAGAGATTATTCTGCTGGAGTTTAAAAACTCACTTCCAGAAGTGATAAGAACTCATGTTGACGAACAAAAAGTTCAAACAGTGAAAAGAGCTGCAAAGATGGCGGATGAATACACATTAGTACATAAATCGAAATCGAGCTTCCAACAGCAATTTCATTCCATGAGGGATAGAAATTGGGTGAAAAAAAGGGAGATCCTTCAATGAAAAACAAAAGGTAGATCACACTGGGAACAGTTTACCACATGTGAAAAAAGAAACCCAAGAGGGTGAAAGAGAGGCAATAGACCTCAGGTGTTTTCACTGCAATAAGGAAGGACACACAAAGTCAAAGTCAGAGTGCTGGTGGGTTAAGAGAGGCACTAGGGAAAAGGATGTGGTAAAAGAGGCTAAACAGTGGGATTATTTAAGATAGTGAAGGAAATCCCAAGATTAGTCAAGGAGCTGCAGGAGAGTGCACAGCCTAGTCACGGACTGGATAATAAGACAGTGCTCAATCTCTTCAAAGACTTCACCTCTGTGGGTAAGGTTTACTCAGGCAGAACAGGGGGTGTAGGTAAGGAAGTTAAAATATTGAGAGAAACGGGAGCTGGTCAGTTGCTAATAGTAAGAGATGAAAGTAATTGCACTCCTTCTGAAACGTTACCCGAGAGAGTGATAATCTGTGGAATAAATGGTGAGAGATTTAGCATTCCTGTGTGTAAGATAAGGCTGGAAAGACCAATCAAGATTGGGGAAGTGACAGTGGGTCTGATTGAAAGGGTGTCTATTCCAGGAATACAGTTTGTTCTTGGAAACAACCTAGCCAGATCAAAAGGTGGGAGTGATGCCCATTGTAGGGAAGAAACAAAACCAGGGAACTGAGCAGTTAAAAGAAAAATACTCTGGAATTTTTCCAGATTGTGTGGTGACAAGATCCCGCAGACATAAGTTAAAGCAAGAAGGGAAAAACCAAATGGAAAGACAAAGGAGTTGAGGTCTGCTTTAGCTGACACCCTGTTTGATGAAACGGTAAAGTGAAACCTAAACAGGTAGAGGATCAGGCAGAGCCGTTTTTTTCTGAAATGGAGTTACAACAAAAAGATGAGACAATAAAAGCTTTATATCATAAAGCCTACACAGTAAAGGAATCAGAATGTATTCCAGAAGGTTATTACCTTAAAGATAGAATCCTAAGGCAGACGTGCAGAGGAGAAATGGGCGGAAGTTCACCACATTGTTTTGCCGGTAACATACAGACAGGAAGCATTGTG